AACCTAATTATTAATTGGGTGTTATTTTGATATTGACAGATTCGGGAATCTGTCGTCCAACAGCTAGGGTTTTCGTCTGCGGGACTTCAGCAGTGTGAGGTGAGTTCTCTTTCAGTAGGAACGAGTCTAAGGCACCAAGGCCGGCCCGTATATGTGATATGTTAGTAGTTGAGTGTGGGCGGGGCCCGTATCTCATTATTATCTGAGTATAGATATGAGTCAGATTATTGGAATGCTATACTTGTTGTCTGTGTGATACCTGCATGTGTTGTTAGGAATGTGAGTGTGGGCGGGGCCCGTATTTTATAGAGTGTGGGCGGGGCCCGTATCTCATAGTAGCTGAGTGTGGGCGGGGCCCATATCTCATAGATAGCTGATATGGTACAGATTTATATGCTTAGTGATACTTGTTGTTTGTGTAGTACTTGTATGTATTATTATGACTGGCTGAGTGTGGGCGGGGCCCGTATCTCCTAGTCAGCGGAGTGTGGGCGGGGCCCGTATCTCCTAGTCAGCGGAGTGTGGGCGGGGCCCGTATCTCCTAGTTAGCTGAGTGTAGGCGGGGCTCGTATCTCCATGAGTGTGGGCGGGGGCCGTATCTCTCAATAGCGTGATTATGTGTATGGTATGTGGTAGTTTAGGGAGACTCACTAAGCTTCGTGCTTACGGTTTTTAGTTTTGGTTTCAGGTACACAGTTTTTAAAAGAGGAGCTCGGGAAGGTTGCAGTGCACACACCATTTGTTTAGCCTGGGATGTTTATACTCTGATTTATTTTGATATGTGACTTGATACATGATTTATGATTTTATATTTGACTAATGGTTTAAAACGAAAATTTTGGACTGTATTTTTGGGATGTTATAGAATGAGAGCACAGTGGGTATATTAGTGAAATCAGAAATCAACAGGAAGTATATTAGTGACATGGCAACGACAAGACCTTCTATGGTACTTCCTAGAGCTAGTTCCTTCTTTATGTAAACTATAGCTCCTATATTCATTAGGAAACATGTTATAGAAATTCTAAATCTTGGATTCCATGCTTTTGAACCCCAATAAGTTTGATAAGACAAGTGAAATTCATTTGGATTCAAAACCAAGAGAAACAAATTGAGTACTAGCAATTGTAGCATTATCCCAACCCTATAAAAGATTGTCAGTTGTGGAAATGATAGTAACTAATTCAGCCCCATTCATCTTATCAAACAGCTCAAACAAATGTAATTCGAAAACCTGCAAACAAAATTAGAAAAAACCATAGGTAAAAATTAGGATTTTAGTGAAAGAAAGCTTTCTTGATTTCTTGGGGTAGTCATACACATTATAACCCACTTATGTTCTACCCACTCTTCGTTATATGACACTTAAAAAAAGCCTAATCATTCGACTAAAAAGAAACGTAGATCCATATATATTTCGTAATCACACGATTCAATCCTTAAAAGCTAGATTATAACCCTTTCAGAGGAAGAATTGCAAGCAATCAAGAAGTAGAAGAATCAGAAATCAAATATTACAAGGAATAATAGAAGAATTGAGTAGCTGCGATGAAGTGCTTAACCCTTTCCAAATTCAAAATTGATAAGCCTTGGAAATCAAAAATGATAGGAAAGAACGAACATCACAATTCTCAAAAGAAATTTGATTGTAAAATCAGAAATTAGGTTTAAAAATTAGAAATTGAGTTCAAGAACATACCAGGGCTATGATGTTGGTGTCCGGCGGCAACTATACACCGATTTCGCTGATGGAATACGAAGCCGATGAGGTCGTTGTGATGATTGTAGGCGATGGGTTGCTGATCTGATCCTTCGGTGGTATAAGGTCGTTGTGATAGTTTTGATGTACATCGGTTGTTACAGAGGTGGTGCAGGAATGCAAGATGAAACTGAAAGCTTTGATTTCGAGGCGGTGATGGTCGGCTGGTAGAGGAGCGGCAATGAAGTTGCCGGTTGAGGTGAGGCTACAAATTTTTGAGGCTGATCGTTTGAATATAAAGAGGGGAGAAGACTAGGTTTTAGGAAGTTAATGAATTACCATAATTAAATATGCAAAGATTACTATAATACATTTACATGATTTATTTAATGATTTATTATTTCTTCAATTCTCATTGGTGCATACACGCACACAATAGTTGCTAGAAATATCTGAACCTAGTTTTTACTAAAAGAATAAGTTGTTAAGTAATAAGATGTCGACAACCTCACACATATATCGTCATTTTCATACATTCTCACTAATTCTTATTAATTTTTGTTTTCACACATCGTTTTTTACATAACTTGTCCATGAGATCTATGACTTTAATAAATAATCAACAAACATATTTATAAAAACAATAATTTTTATATTTACTCATTTGTTTATAAAATTGGAATTAAAAATATATTCATTTTAGTAGAAGTATCCTAAACGAATTAAAAATATATTTATTTTTGTTCTCACACATCGTTTTTTCACTTATTTTCACACTCAAAGCAAAAATTTCATAAATTTTTTATGAAGTGTTGGAAAAGATGTTGCTTTTCGCACACGACATTATAGTACCAACTTCTTTTAATCCGAATCCAAATATTCCGACTACGACGTGTTTTCAAAGGAGCAGTTGGTGCACTTGATGGCACTTGGATACATGTTGTTGTCCTTGCAAAAAACAAGATTTATATAGAAGTAGGATAAAATGTGATTGTTACCAAAACGTATTGGCAATTTGTGACTTCAACATGATGTTTACGTTTGTTGTGGCCGGTTGGGACGGAGTAGCACATGATTCTAGAATATTATTAGAAGCATTAGCAAATCTACACGCACCATTCATGTTTCCACCATCAGGTAAGTTTATGGTTATTTAAATAACTTTATCTTAGTTTGAAAACTACATGTTTTTTTGGGCATTTTTACAGATAAATATTATATTTGTGATGCCGCGTATGCACACTCGAGGTTTTATGGCACCGTATCGTAATGTGAGGTATTGGCTTGGAGATTTCAGTTAAAGACATGCATTAGCCAATAAAGAAAAATTTAACCATGCACATGCAAAACTTCGGAACGTCATTGAGCGTGTTTTTGGTGTATTGAAAGCACGATTCCCTATATTAAAGAGGATGGCACCGTTCTCGTTGGTTACACAAAGAAACATTGCCCTTGCATGTTTCGCGCTTCATAATTTTATAAGAAGGGAGGGATTGAGTGATGAGTATTTTGCACGGTATGATGAACCAAATGTCTTGGTTCGAAATAACAATGTGTCCGTTAATGATAATGAAGATGAGATTCCAACACATGGTACTGCAGCGGACTATGAATATATGACCCAGTTAGGGGCTGAAATTGTTGAACAGTTGACGCAAAATATGGAATGGGAATTATTAAAGTTTGGTTGTATGAATTTTATTTCATATTGTTTTTATTGTAAGACTAATTTGGTTGTATGAATTTTATTTCAATGTTTTAAGACTAGAATTATTAAATTTTCAGTGTTGAAAAACTATTTTATGCTTATAAAATTGTTTAATTTTATTTTTTTAACATCTGTAACAGTCTGCAGAGCTGCTGCAGATGCTAAAAAACAAACACGCTTCTAATTACAGTCTGCAGCCGTTTGGTCCACTTCTTCTACTGGAGAGGGTTGCAGAGCTGCTGCAGATACAATATCACTCATATTACCCCAAGTACCTCGCCTAGGCCTGACAATTCTCGACAAGACCAGCGACACAACACGAAATAAACGGGTTTGGGTTGAGTTTTTCAACTCGTCAACCCGTTTATTAAACAGGTCATATATGTGTTTCTCAAAAAATATACGTGTTGATTTGCCAACCCATTTAGAGCTTTAATAAAAAAAAATTATATATTTTTAAAATGTATTAACTATTATACACTATACAGTTTATACTTTTTATAGTAGGATATGATACTCGATATCATTGACCATTTGACTCGTGGGTAACCATTTGCTAATTTGCATTGCAACACACTTGGCATTTGCCATAAATAATCTCAGTATCTCACAAACAAAATCAAATAAGCCCTCTCCCGGTCTCCCTTCTGTGATGAACGACATAACGAACTCACGGAGAACGACGACATGAACGACTAAATCATTATCGAACGACGTCGACGCTGCGATTGAATTTATCTATGTTTATATTAATGTTTTAGTTTGGACATGTTTCCATGAATGTTTTTAATTTTCATTTGGATGTTTAACACTTAAGTTTCTAAAATTAGGATATGTTGGTATCAAAAATTTATTCATGTTTAATTATCAATTTTATTTATGGAATTTGACCCATGAACACACGAACCCAAATATGACTCACGAACCCATCAACCTGTGAACCCATGACCTGTATAATTAAATGGGTCGTTTTCTGGTTGGTATGTTTTAACCCACCAACCTGCCAACCCACGATCCGCCAACTCAAACACAACACGATTGTCAGGCCTAACCTCACCGGTGAAGGAGCCGACTGTCATTTAGTTGGCCTCAATGTTTATATTAAAAAAAGTTTTATATATCTAACTATTAAATATGATATGATGGGGGCCACATCCAAGTGGGCCATACACCCCACTCAATATACATTGGATCCCCCTTGGTGGTCGTTGTAGTATAATTTGTTGTTGTAATCCTATTAAAAAGTCTATTGTTCATAATATTTTTTTTTCTCAATATTCTAATATAAAGTTTCATTCTGTGCGCTGCTTTCCACATATTGATTAAGTAATGCTACTTCAAAAAAAAATGTTTTCAATATTCCAATTAAAAAAATTTCTGTTTAAAAAAAAGATTTACTCATCATGGTGTTTAAACTTCTTTTTTTAATGAAGAAATCCAAATAGCAATTTTGCTTTTCTCATCCACATGACAAACAATAAACATAAGTTGCTTCAGACTTTATGTCAATTCAGATGAACCACACAACCAAGTCAAAGTATAGCAGGATGTACAAGCTACTAAAGCAGGAATTACAGGAGTTACAAGCTACTAATGCACAAGGTACAGGTCTGTTGGATTCTCCTCCCACAGACAGCAACACATGATTTTAAAAGAGAGAGAAAACTGCTACTAGTGGAATTTCCGCATATTACGGGACAAAGAAAGGTAAATGGTTTGGTATTTAACCTCTTAAATAATTATAATAAATTCAAAATCATGTTGGTATCCATGGCAGATAGCGTGGATGATGAAATGACAACAGCTTGTGCTACGGTATTGTTTTATAATTTTATGTTGCAAATTGCTTAATAATTGATGAAAATATTGCAAGCACTTGCTATATATTGCCGGAAAAAAAAATTTACCATGACGATACTGGTAAGAATTGCGAAGCACATTACTTTATGTTGAAATAAAAACATCATTGATTATAATGATCATATTAATAATGTAAAATCAACTCGCTTTATACCGAAAATGTCAAGTGATACGTTTCTTTATCAGTTTTTGTTAAAATGGAATTTTATTGGAAATTCACACCTATCTCTCTCACCACATATATTCTATCTTAACAAATCAAAGAAGTCAAGTGATAAGATATTTCTTGAGATTTTATATGATTGGAAGTTGAGTGGAAACTGGAAACTAACATCCCTCTCTATATATGCACGGATCTTTTCATTAATGTGCGCCTCAAACTACATACACTGATTAACAAATCAACACATCAATGGCATCTCCGTCATCTTCTCCTTCCGCCCCGAAATTTTTCTTCTTCTTCTAAGTCATGGAAGTATGATGTTTTTCTTAGCTTTAGAGGGGAAGATACTCGCAAGACTTTTGTGGATCATCTCTACTCAGCTCTCGAAGAACAGGGGATCTACACTTACAAGGATGACATAACACTTGCTCGGGGAGAATCGATCAGCCCTTCCCTGTTGAAGGCTATTGGAGAATCGCAGATTGCCATCATCGTGTTCTCTAAAAACTATGCAAATTCGACCTGGTGCTTGGATGAACTTACACATATCATTAAATGCAGGAATGAGATAGGGCAAACTGTTATGCCCATATTTTATGACGTGGATCCCTCTGAAGTGAGAAAACAAAAACGAAAATACAAAGAAGCATTTGACACACATGAGGTGGAGAACAAGAACAGAATTAAATCTTGGGGACAAGCATTTGTTGATGACCCTTGGGGATGGCTCTCTGCACCGCTCAAGCAAAATCGAAAATACAGAGAAGCTGCTGCCAAACAGGAATTGGAGCACAAGACCAAGGTTGAATCATGGAGTAAAGCACTTGTGGAGGCAAGTAACATTTCTGGATGGGAAACCACGCAGATTGCCAACGGGTAATTTACTTCAATGTTTTTGCACTTTTTATACTTAGATGTGTGCTCTACAACATATTTATACTTGTACCTTATACGCTCTTTATATAAATGTTTTAATTATTGTTGATGGTGTTGATGACCTTTAAAAAGGAGAGGCTTTAACTAGATCAATTGACCAGTTTGGTAAGTTCAAGTATATCTCAAACCCAGGTTTATGGTTCAAATAAAGTTATGATGGACTTCATTAAGTTCTAGTTCTAATTCCATAATTAACACCTTGCTTCAAGCTACAACAAAAAATCCATCATTCTTTACATTTTTATATTTGAAACTATTTGATGATTCCCAAGAAAATTGTTACAAAGTACTTGTGATATTGACATTACATTTTCTAATTAAATGTAAAATATAAAACGTGATTAGGACTCCGTTTTCTTTATTGCATGGAACATGAGACCAATTACCTCTTTTGTTAATGTGGGCATATATTAATTGTCCTTGTACGTCTATCGTGTAGGCATGAATCACAAGGCATCAAACAAATTGTCGTCGAAATTTCGCAGAAATTGTATCCACTAACTTCAAGAGCAGATGAAAACCTGATTGGAATGGCCGTACGAGGGCAAAGTTTGAAATCAGAGTTACAAATTGAGTCAGGCGGTCTTCTCATGATTGGAATATGGGGGGTTGGGGGTGGTGGTAAGACTACTCTTGCATCTTCGGTTTATAGAGAAATCTCTAGCAAGTTTAATGGTTGCTGCTTTATTAAAAATAATCGAGAGGAATCAAGCAGGTATGGGCTGGAAAAGTTGCAAAAAAAAATTCTTTCAGAAATGAAAGTAAACAAAGTTGGAGGAGGAAGATCCTTGATAGATAATAGGTTACGCCGTAGAAAGGTCTTGATTGTTCTAGATGATGTCCATCACCTCGACCAATTAAAAGCATTAGCTGGGTCACATGATTGGTTCGGTGAAGGAAGCCGAATAATTATTACAACCAGAGATGTGCATTTATTAAATGCACACAGAGTAGATGTGATGCATAATATTAGCTTATTAAACAATGATGAGGCTATGAAGCTCTTTTGCAAGCTTTCACCGCAAGATAACAGACCTAAGGAAGATTACGAGCGGCTTTCAAAAGAAGTGGTTTCTTATGTTGGTGGGCTCCCATTAGCACTTTCAGTTCTTGGTCCTTTCCTGTGTGACAAAGATATTGACGAGTGGAAGAGTGCTTTAGCCAGATTGAAAGACATCCCAAATGATGATATTGTGGGAAAGCTAAAACTCAGTTTTGATGGACTTACAAAGGTTGAGAAAGAGTTGTTCCTTGATATTGCCTGTTTTTTTAGGTGGGAGAACAAAGAAAAGTCAATGGAGATACTTGATGCTTGTGGTTTTCATCCTGTTATAGGAGTGAAGGTGTTGATACAAAAGGCTCTCATAACTATTTCAGAAGATGGAGAATTTGATATGCATGATCTGGTGCAAGAAATGGGACATCACATTGTTAGAGGGGAACACCCTAACAACCCTGAAAAGCATAGTAGAGTTTGGAAGAAGGAAGATGCTATAAAAATATGCTCTATGGATGCAACGACGGTAACAATTAAGCTAGCTTTGCATGATATATATATATATATATATATATATATATATATATATATATATATATATATATATATATAGAGAGAGAGAGAGAGAGAGAGAGAGAGAGTTATGATCTATTGACAACTCAAATATTCGTAAAACCCTAAGAACTTTTCCAACACTATATTCTTGATTTTTTTTTTCAATTTTTTCTACCAATCACTAGTTAAGAATTTAATTCTCTGAATTTCTTTTCAAAAAATGTCTTTTAAAAATGTGCATATATGCAAATTTCAGATGTGCGCACATGCATGTATGAACATTTTTGAAAGACGTTTCTGATTTCTTTTCGAAAGTGCTTAAAAACCTGCGACTAAGAATCTCCAAACGTTTTTTTTTTTTTTTTTTTTGAAAAAAAAAATCACGCAAAGAAGTTCTGAGTTTTAACGAATCTTTGAGCTCTCAAAAAAAAAAAAAAAAAAAAAAAAAAAAATTATATATATATATATATATATATATATATATATATATATATATATATATAAACAATTTGTTCCTATATCATAGGAACTTGATATGATTGAAGCAGTCGGACTTGGATTCTTTGTTTTTCCACTTGGGGATAATCTACCACTTGTTGCAAACGGGAAGAACCTTAGGTGGATTCAATGGCAATGTGATATTGCAATTCATTTGCTTAGTAACTTTCCACAAAGGACGCTCTGTTGTCTAATATTGGGGTCTGGCCTTCAAAAACAACTATGGGAGGGTAATAAGGTAATTCTTATTGTATTTTTAATTAAAAGATGAAAACAAGATGGATGATGAATGTCCGATCTGAGTAAATGTTGTCATTGAGCAATTTCAGCTACTACCTCCGTCTCATATTTATTGTTACTTTCTACTTTCGAAGTCTTTAGTCTTTAGTCTTTAACTTTGATCTTAAATATTTTTATTTTTGATATATAATAGTTAATACAAAATATATGAATGAATGTATTTTAAATGTCTTTTCATTGTTATAAATTTAATCAGTAGTATATAACTAAAATAAAAATATTTAAGGTCAAAGTTGATAATAAAAACTTTAATAGTCAAAAGTGTACAATAAATATGAGACGATGAAGTATATTTTTATAACTAGCTATAGTATTGAGTATTGAAAGCATGAACCTTTTTTTTGTGTAAATATTGTTTGTATGAATAAGAATAAACTTGGTAATTAAAATATAACTTCTTTGATATGATATGAAAACATTAGTCATTGCATCCATGGTATGTAAAGATCGTCCTCCATATAAATATCCTTTTGTCTCAACATAACGACCAAAATTTGTTTGTTTTTTTTTTTTTTTTTTTTTTTTTGAAATAAATGCTGTATAATTATTTTGGTAAGATTTCAATCTAAATATTATTTTTGTTGACTAATAACCATATAAAACATTGATATCATGCATTTAGGTTCAAAAATCTTTTATTATTTTGTTTTTATTAAGTGAATTTTATATTGTTAATTAAACAATAATTCAAATGATTTCCATTTATAGATGGAAGGATTTAGTTTTTTTGTCCATTTTTATCCTCTGAGACATATATATATATATATATATATATATATATATATATATATATATATATATATATATATATATATATATATATATATATATATATATGGGTGTGTGTGTAAGTATACCTGCAATATTGACTTGTTTGAACTTGTATACGTCAGTTTCTGCCAAATTTGAAGATCATTGAATTTTGGAGTTTTCATAACCTAATCGTGACACCAGATTTTTGTGGACTTCCAAATCTTGAAAGATTCATCCTTACTAGGTGTTTCTATTTAGAAGAGATTCATCCATCAATTGGACGCTTGGAAAGACTTGTTTTCTTACGTATAGCACACTGTCCCCGTCTTGAGATGTTTCCACCCATTACCCAACCAAAGAAACTTAAGACCCTTGAATTCTCAAGCTGCCCCAAACTTTTTAATATCTCAGAGATCCAGAAGCAGAACATTGATAATTTAGGGAATCTTGATTTGGATAATAGTGGGAAAGAAGTTGAATCCTCTATGGAATGTTGTTTAGAGGAGCCTTGTTTACCTCGTAACAACATGAAGCCTTGTTTGCATGACAACATGAACCACATAGGGTTGCAGTTTTTTTTCAAGGACATAAGAAAGTTGGATCTAAGCTTTTGCAGTTTGGGAGATGAAGAAATTTTCTCTGCTGATTGGGAGTTGCCCAACTTGGAAGAACTCAATCTAAGAGGAAATGACTTTTCACTATTAAGTTTTAGTCGCTTGAAACTTCCTCGGCTCAAACTGCTAAACGTGTCATATTGCCAAGGCCTTGTAGAATTGTCAGAGCTGCCATCAAGTATAGCTGTTATTTTGGCTGATTCTTGTACATCACTTGAAACCTGTGGAGATGTTTCAAACTGTAAATGGTTGTGGAACATCTCACTTCAGTTTGGGAACAATTGTGGTGGTGACATATTACTACATTCCGTGCTCCAGGTTTGGCTCTACATACCTTTTGAATTTCAATCTTTGTTATGTTTACCCTACCAAAAGAATCATAATTGAATGTGATTTCCATGGCAGGGAAATGCTATTCAGGATCACTTTATCATTGTCATTCTTGAAAGTCAGATTCCAAAGGAATTTGAAAGTAGACTATTTAGGAGGAACACATTTACACTGCATTTTCCAGATGATTGGTACAGTGACTTTTGCGGGTTCTTAATATGTGTGGTCACAGAAGACATTTCTCCGAAAATTAATATAGTTATCAAGCAGGGGGTAATTAATTATTATCCATTTTGGCTTATGTCAAATGAAGTGGAGCCTGAATCTGATGGAATGAGGACATTTGTAGGATATGTTTCCTTTGGTTCATTGAGGCACACTGCATTTTCAAACTCATCTTACACTATGATTTCAGTTTACACAAACATAGACAGTTATGTTGTAGCTAAGCTTGTTCCTAGGAAATCTAAAGCTCAGGTCCAAACAACAAAATTCGCAACAGACTTCTCAGAATTTTACGAGCAGGAACTCAATTATGGCGAACCGTCATTTACTATCCAAGATGGTCCAAATTCTTCTATCAAGATTATATGGCAAACACCCCAGTCGTCGCGGGCGTAGGGTATTAGTTGATCCGGGGCTGAGTGATAAAGATTTAGGCCGAGGTTGAGAGTGCTCTTTATGTACTATAGGATGTGTTTTATTACATTGGATTGTGGTTCCAGTGGTGCATGCATAAATAAGCATATAGTTTCGTTGAACGATGTAAATTATGCCTGGCCTTGAAAATGTGAGATATTGCAAAGCACCCACTAGACATGGGTATAGGGAGGGTCCGGTGATCGGGGTGCCCACTATGGCACTGACTTTGGAACTAGTGATCAATAGGGGTGGCAACCGGAACGGTTTAAAGTTATTAGACTAGATATTTATTATCATGTATTTATGTATGTAGATAAGTCGTAGGCTAGCAATACTTTCCATATAGAAATCATTGTTCATGTATTTATACCTCATTGATTAAAGAGAGGCATCAAAGTTTTCTATGACTTTCATGGTGTCACGCCGATCTCTAGCCCTACCCCTCCGGTCATGTTCTTCTCTGATGTCTCTTTTCTTCTCGACATCCTTTTCGACCGGGCAGTCACACGACACTCTCTCTTCTCTCTCTATTTCCTTGCTAATCAAGGCACCCTCCTCCCAACTCTAATTACCCTAATTTCTTCCTTCTCCTTTCATTATTAATCTCTTCTTCCCTTCCTTTGAATGGCTTCTAAGAACAAAATACGCCTTGTTGTCGGTCTCAAACATAAAGAATCTCATCTCAATCACTTTGAGGATGGAAAAAGGGCAATATACTCCACGGGCTACACTTTTCAAAATTCATTGTCGTGCGGTATTTGATCACATCATTCCTTCAAACCCCCCACGACTCCATACCTTGATGCCATTATACTTCAATGGATGTATGACACTATTTCGAATGATCTCCTTTTCACACAGTTCTACATCACGAAGCCACTGCCAAACAAGTGTGGGAAATACTTGCAGGTACTTTCTAAGACAACACGAATTATCGAGCTCGCTACTTAGAACACCAATTCAGCAACATGAAACTTGATGTTTTCCTCACATCTCCGCATACTCTCAAGAATTAAAGGCCATCTCTTATCAACTTGTTAATGTTGGTGATACTTTGTAACACCCATAAAAAATCAAACCAATTTAAAACTTTTTCAAACATCCAAAAGTCATTAGTTATTACAAAATGTTTTCAAATTAGTTTAATATCAGAGTATCCCAGAAACCATAAGTCCAAAACACGAGGATGTGTACGGTCACACATTCGCCTTGCCGAGATATCTGAAGTACCTGAAACAATAAACTGAAACTGTAAGCACAAAGCTTAGTGAGTTCCCCCAAAATACTAACGTCATACAAATATAACCATATCATATAACAAATACAGAACAACATGCATAATGAGCCGTCAGCCTGACTGGACCGCCTCGCAGGCCTTCAGTCTATCTGGACTGCTCTCCGAGCCTTCGGCACGTCTGGACCGCCTCGCAGGGCCTACAGCCTATCCGGATCGCTCGTCATGCCTTCGGCCTGACTGAATCCCTTTGCAGGGCCTTCAGTTTATCCGGACCGCCCTAGGTATGTTGGCCTACAGCACAAAGCAGGACCGCCTCAACCCAACCCCCAACCAAACAAACATGTGCACATAAATATCATACGCTAGCTCATTTCATATAACAGTCAAACCGATCTAACATATCACCAATCATAGCAACATCCCAATAACCGGGATACAGACCTAATTGGTTACTAACATAACATCATCCTATAACCAGGACAATCATATGTACATAGATATCATATAACACTAGCATGTATATATATAACAGTCAAACCGATCTAACAGATCACAAAGCATAACAACAATCCTATACTCAAGATATCGACCTAACAGGTCACTAACATAGCATCATCCTATATATCATGATACCAACCCAACCGGGTCACTAAAGCATAGCATATCACCATCCTAACTACCAGGATGTAAATCAGTAAGCATAACATGCAATAATCCGAATACAATCCATATAAGGGCCGGCCTTGGTGCCCTAGACCATGTTGATATAGTGAGGATAACTCACCTGGCACTGCTAAAGTCTTGCGGATGAAACTTCAGCTACTGGTTGACAGATTCCCGAACTGCCAACATCAAACAAAACTCAATTAATAATTGGGTTCCAAGCTCAAGGTCCAACTCACACTCCAAAGGCCCAAAAGTCAAGTAATGGGCCAAAGCCCAACATATGGCCCAATTTTCTAAATTGGGCCCAAACCTTTACATGGTCATAATTAAAGGCCCAACTACTTAGTCCGGTCCAAACATTTGGCATTTCCAATGGCCCAATATCATATAATCATCAAGGCCCAAATTATGGCCCATCTACGGCCCAATTTTCCAAATTTGGCACAAACCCTCATATGGGCCTTACCCTAAAGCCCATTAAATTATTCTAGTCTAGTTGCTTGTTCTTGGATGGCCCATTAATAACCCAATTACCAAAGCCCAAAAGAATGGCCCAATTCAAGGCCCGAGTGAGATTAGGATTTTCACATGAAATGATGATTAGGGTTAAGTGTTTTATTAGGTCAATTAGGGTTTCCTTGGGCCCATTATGGCCTCATTAGGCCCACTAGGGTTTCATGCATCCCAAACGAATCACAACATCAACGAGGCACACCGCCACCCGAAACGGCGGCCGGTGGCGGCAGCCACCACCTCACGGTGGTGGTTAGGGTTCTTTTTTCATTATTCCAATTCATGATTACATTTTACAAACTCTAATCCCAAAATAAACACACTAAACAAACTAATCACACACACACAGCCACCTTGTGGTGGCCGGCGGTGGCGCATGGCGGCAGACACCACCTCACGGTGGTGGTGGTGGCTGTTCTCGAGAGTTCCGGCCAAATAACACCACACTAATAATGGAAACACACCCAAAAACAATTCAGCTTCATGAGTCCTCGAACTCAGCCACTATTTCACGGTGGCAAGCGGCGAATCTTGGTCTTCAACGGAGTGGCAGTGGCGGCGTCAATGACCGGGGAGGCTGCCAGCCGCAACAGATTAACATCCGGCGACGGTTGGTCTTCCACGAGAATAGCAGCGACGCAACGTCGGAAGCGTCGCAGTAAGGCTACGGTGGTCGGAGAAACGTCGACGACCATCGTGAGACGTGCGTGCGGCTGGAGGCAGAAGGCAGAAGAAGAAGAAGAAAGGTAGAGCGGGGTGGCGGAGATCGTCGGTTCCGACTTCATCAGCGACTGCGCAAGGCAGCAGCAACGACTACAGCGGCGGCTCGGTGGCTCACGCTACCGGTTCTTGTTCCCGGCATTGGTGGTCAGAGGTAGCAGCGGCGTCGGAGATTGAAGAGGTGAATGGTGGCGGCTGGAGGGAGGTATAAGGTTGGAGGGTGACGGCTGCATATAATGGTTGATAGGGTTAGGGTTTATTCCCTATATACCCGACGCCTTTAGGCATTTTTCCATAATGCCACAAATAGTCCCACCCTTCACATTTTCCTTCAAAGCAAGGCCAAAATTTACACTCCAGCCCCCTGACTCTAAAATTCCTTTCAACACAAGTCCAAAGAAATTGCCAAACAGCCCCTAGCATCAGAATTCTATTCATAATTGGTCCGGAAGTTACATTTTAACCCCCATCTCTCATAATTCATTACAATTTAGGTATAATATTTGCCAAACACACCCTAACCACTGAAATCCTTTTCAAACAAATCCCGAAATTACACTTTAACCCCCGAGACTCTAAATCGTGACATTTGGCTTCCCGAAACCAACACCCCGTTAATTATTATTTGATTTTGGCTATAACAACATAAAATAATAATAATAAAATTACTTCTCGGGGCTCCGGCTTTATTATTTATTATTATTTTTTAAATGGGATGTTACATACTTGAACATTATTCATATTGTAAGAGTAGAAAAGATTGATGTTCATTGGAAAATTTTATTAGGCTATAATACAAGAACTAGAATAAATACTAAAACCCTAACCCTAAGGCTAATGGGCTAGATAAAAAGGAGCCTATAAATATATGGGCTAACACCCCCCCCCCCTTTCAAACTCACAATGCCATAACAATAAGCATTGAGAGTTTGTCACACTAAAAATGAAACCAAGACGCCGACAGAACCTTCATGAAAATATCAAAAACCTGCAAGTTTGATGGACCAAACGGAAGCGATATGGTCCCGAGTTGAAGGTGATGATGGGTGAAGTGACAGTCAGTCTCAATGTGCTTAGTCCGCTCATGGAAAACATAATTCTTTGTAATTTGTATCGCACTTTTGTTATCACAATGCACAGGAGTAGACAGAGAAATGTGAACCCCCATATTTGCAAGAAGTGATCATAACCAGATAATCTCACATGTAGTCACAACCATAGCCCGATACTCAGCCTCCGTGTAAGATCTAGAGACACAACAGCATAGAAATCTTTTCATTAACGGCCAGTTATTTCTTGGTCTTCATTGAAATAAGAGACTATCCAAGAAACACACAAAATCCAGTGGTGCATTTACGATCGTAACGATCGTCATCGCAATCAACGTCACTATAGGCACGTAACTTTAGAGACCATAATGAAGGAAACAAAGGGTCTTAAACGGAGTGCCACGAAGATATCACAAAATGCAGAGTACAGCTCCCCAATGAACAGAAGTAAGATCAGTAACAAATTGACGACATGTATAACATGAGCTATATCTGGGCGAGTAACTGTAAGATAAACCATACTCCCCACAATAGTCTGGTAAAGATTCGGATCTAGCAAAGGGGCACCATCACTAGGAGTGTAACGTGCATTGGTTTCAAAAGGAGTATATGCAGTGCGGTTGTCAGAGAGACACGCCCGTGTAAACAAGTCAAAGATGTATTTAGACTGAGAAAGAAGATACCCTTTCTTAGATTGAGTTGCCTCAATACCCAAGAAATAATGTAGCAAGCCCAAATCCTTCATAGCAAATCGATGAGCTAGATCATTAGAGATGCACAAATTCAGGATCTGATCCGATCCGGTCCGTTCAACAATCCGATCCAGTCAAATCAGATTCGGATCCGGTCAAAATCCGATCTGATCCGGTCAACAACCTGAATATGATTTTAAACCGCTTTGAGCCGGTTTTTAGTGGTTTTTAGGCAGTTTAGGAACCGATTTTCGTAGAATCCGGTTTGTAATCCGGTGGTAAATCCAAGTTTGAGTCTGAAATGTCAAACTGGTTTGGATCCGGTCACCGGTTTAATCCGATCCAGTTTGGTCAAAACTATATTTGACCGAAACCGAATTCAGATCGGATCCGATTTGTAATAGTGAAACTAGTTTTTGTGTGCACCTTTATAGATCATGCTTCAAAGACTCAATACCACCATGGTCATCACCAGTAATAATCATGTCATCCACATAGAAGGACAAAAGAGTTCGTCTTGCACT